GAATGCCGGTTCTACCAAGTTTGCCTTTTGATTCCAGCCCCATTTGGCCTTTGCCCAATTTGGTACAGAGAACACCACAATATCAGCATCATTCTTCTTCATCAGTGGTAAGATCTTTTTCTTAGTGTGATCTCTCTTTTTAATTTATATGATGGGGTTTTCATTTGCCATATATTCATGACATTATCATCCTGTGAAATAAAAAATCTTTGCTTTATTGAACGAATATGTAGGTGAATGCCTCATCAGGAACTTCGTCAACATCTATGTCTCATTTCACAATAGAGCCCCCTTCAAACCAAAACAATAATGGCAGCAGTGTGCCTGTGAGGCCAATCGAGAAGGTATGTGCAATTTGTGCTCTTAAAGTAATTTTATGTGCATATTTCAGTTTGGTCTATACTATATGAGATGCTTGAAGTGTGTTGTTGAAGTCAGTCATTGAATGTGGTTCTCATGGATGGTGGCCACCTGCAACAACATGTGAATACTGCTTCTGATCTGAATAGTGCCTGTTTTGTTGGTATGGTTGCAATTTATGTCTGCATTCCTGATAGCAGTTGTCGATGTTGCCTTCAGAATAATTGTGCTAGATACGAGATCATTTTGTTTATGCCTTGGTTGCTGGCTTGCCCAAGTAAATTGGGCCTTTATTGGATTGTAGTGCATGTGGACTCATTGGGCCCTTAGTGAGGTGGAGGTGGAAGTCGATCCAGAACACTATAATTCACAATTCAGTCCTTTAATTTAAGAGTAAACAATAGCTTTGGTTCCTGAAAGTGGTGAGTTTTGTCACATTAGTTGTTGAAATTAAGAAAATGTTAAATAAGTCTTCATAATGTTAAATAAGTTCATAAATTTAACTACTTAGTGTCGCGCGCGCACACAAACACATACGCGCGCGCACACACACACATATATATATATATATATATATATATATATATATATATTCACTTCTGTCACACATATTTTCTTAATTTTGGATTATTGTGACTGCCAATTTGCACTTTAAGGGACTTATTTAAAATTTTCTTAGTTTCATGTACTAATATGACAACTTCTTTCAAATTCAGGGATCAAAGTGACCATTTACTCTTAATTTAAAGATTGTCTTGCAATAGAAATATGTTGAATATACACCCCAAATTTCGGGTGGATTGTTGTGGGGAAGCGAGAGATAGAAAGAAAGAAATTAGAAAAAGAAGAGGAGAAAGTGAAAGATGTGATGTTATGGGAAAAGAAGAGATATAGGAAGAAAAATGGGGTGGAAAAGGAGATGGAAAAGAAAGTATGAATATAATTACCCTTTATAATACTAATGCATGTACTAATTTCACCTTCTGTATGGCTAAGTTTCTCAGCTTGTTTTGTTGAATAGTCACATCATAATCATGTGTGGTCTCAACGAATTCAGTCAGATTTTGAACTGGTACATTTTGATAGGAGAGATTTTCCTCAAAAATTTTAAATTTATGAAATTTAATAAGGTTATTAATTACATAATGCAGATGGTTGGCATGAAAAGGCCATACCCTTTTTCCTTGGATTTTCCTCAAGCCCCTGCTTTCAATTATAATTCAACCCCCTTCCCTGAAATAAGAACAAATGCAAGAACTTTGTGCGGCAATGGAGGCGGATTTAACTTTGATGCTGGCAGTTCAACTTCCAGGTAGTTTCAGTTTAATTTTTTGACCTTTATGTTATAGTTGTAAGTTTTTAACTCTTGTGTGCTCATACCATCGTGCACCATCTGCAGAGAAGTCTCATCCTGTTCAACATCCAACTCTGAGTTGAACTCAAAGAAAAGAAGTGAAGAGAATGGGAATTTCAATGGAGATTTTCTCACGTTAGCTCCTCCAACTCCTACTTCATATCCTCCTTCAAAGTCCATGTTGACATCAACTTACCTAGCATTTCACAATCACAACCAGGTATGTCTTGAATTTGAATCTCTATGTCAGGTTTGGGAAAATTCATTATCCAACTTTTCTCATATTGATATATTCATAATTCATTCTTAACTTATATTTCATTTGCTAAAGGGAAATGTAGGAGATCAAATTCCTACGGCACCGGTATACAGGCCATTCAATCAACAAAAGCAGCCATTTTATGGCTTCTTCGTTCCAGAACCAAAGGAGGAGCAAAATGGACAAACAGCAGCCAGGATTCAGAATGGCCATGAAGTGGGAGAAAGTGTTGATCTTAATTTGAAACTATGAAATAGAACTTCTAGGCTAGTTGTTGCTCACTATGAAATTTGCATAGTCATCTTTTATTTTACTAGTGGTAGTAGATATTCCTAAATGTGCACATGTAGGGTTGAGTAAGAAAAGGACTATAAGTCATGGCCATGTGAGAATTAGGACTGGAAAAAGAAAGGATAGATGTTGATTTGCTTGTTTTGATGTGCAATGCTTATGAGCTTTTTGATGAATTCAAACTCTAGTTCTATGCCTTTGGAAATTGGGGTTATGGAGTTGTTTTTTCTGTTCTCTTTTACTGTTTCCTTTCTTGGTTATTGTAGTGCCTGGTTGAATGAGTCAGTAACTGGAGTGGTAACAAACTTTGCATGTGGGTTGTGGAGGAATCTAATTGACTATTTGTGTTTTGTTTTCTCTTTTTGTTACCATCTGGTCCCAAAATCTGGCCTCCATTATGATTCTAAAATGACAGAATAGTAGGACCCTCAACATACAGTAGTACGTGTGTCAATTATGACTTGCTGTATTGATTTTTTATGAATAAATCATCAGAAATTATAAATAGTTTGGTTAGAAAATTTTTCGTGAAAATTTAGGAGTGATGCAAGATTATCATATTTTTTTAATGACCAAAATTTATATAAAAAAAATGAAACATAATGATGTGATCTTGAATAAAATGTAGCTAATAAAAATAGTACTTTTAAGAAAAAGGTATGTGGCTAGCGATTCCCTTCAAAAGGTAAAGTAAGTATCATGAGTCATGACGTAAGCATAATGATATTAAATAGGCAACACAGTCCTGTAGTTTATGCACGTAGCAATTAGCATATTTCACCCCATAATTCTTAAAAATGAATGTTAAGGGTGTTAACATTTTTAAATTGAGAAACACTTGCTAAGTGGGTATTTAGTTAAATTTTTTAATTTTTCTATCTCTCAAAATTATATTGAACACACAGTGGGGAACAGAACTAGGAAAAAAAAATCTTCGAGGAGAGCGAAAATTAGGTAAAATGCAATTTTGGTTTTCTAATAGTGTATGTTACTGATATTTTGATATCTAAAATTATGAAAATTTAAAAAAAAATTAATTATTATATATTAAACACAAATATTTACCTTGTATAATAATGTTTTTAAGAATTTTTCTTTTATGAGAGAATTTTTAAAGGTTATTTTAATTTTTTTTAACCAACTCAAATTTTATTTATGATAATTATTTATAAATTAAATTTTAATATTTTTAAAATCAATTATCAATAAATAAAAAATATATTATGCTACAATATAAATTATATATCATAATCTAAATATAATTTATATGTTGTTGTCAAAAAATATATAATTTGTATGTTTAATAATATTTTATTTATACATATTTTAAATATAATTTATATATTCAAAATGGTATTTATTTGATATATAATTTAGTATAAAATTCATTTATATATATTAAATATTTAACATGTATATTATACATATTAAAATATTAGTTATTTTTAAAGTATACGGCGTTACTCACTTTAGTCCAAAACAAAAAAAAAAATAGTAACTTAAAAGATAATATTAACATATGCTTAGGAGCTAAATGGATAAATAAATTAAGTTTGTGAACATAAATGAAATAATACAACTTTTAAGAGTTAATTTAGAATATTTTTACTTTCATAGTCCAAAGTACCAACTACATATTTTCAGATACTCATATGTTATTTGACAAAAATTTAATGTATGATAAAAAAAAATTAACAATGACTAAATTCTATTATTTTAGTAATTATTTAAAATTTAATATAATAAATACTAAATTATAAATATGCAAAAAAAATATAAATAATAAATACTTCTTTTCATCGATATCAAGCCTTCTAATACATTTTTTATAATAATTTATAACTATCAAATATCAATAAACACCTTTAGTGTTTAATTCATTCTCTTTATCTTCTTTTTCTATCTTCTTTTTCCTAAAGAATTTGAAAGCCTTTGTTTTTTTCTTTTTAGGAAACTTGAATAGCTTTTTTTTTTTTTTGAGCTAGAACAAGTTTTATTCTTACATCTAAATAGAATTTCTTTTAGAAAAGGTCATCATACTCATTTCATCCCTTAATCTTGAAGATGATGAGGTAGAATTCATCTACTTTAGTAAAGCTTTGTAGATGAGGAAATTGTTTTTATTTTAAGAAAATTCAATTTTTTCTCTATAAGAGATAGACAATAGTAATTTATCTCCTTCACAATCCTATGTAAAGATCCAGATACTGTCTTTAAAATTTGAAAAATCTTTAAGTCATTACTTATTTGGATACAAGAGTACAAAAAACATGATGAATCCAAATATTCTCTTAAAAAAATTCTAAAAAAAAGTAGTTTATTTTGTTGCAGCTAATGAAAAATATTTTGGATAGACCTAATTTCAGAAGTCCTCATTGAAATCAAATTCTTTATTGAATGACAATATTTTTTAAGTCTACATCAGAAATCTATGTTCTAGATGAAAAAAAATAAAGTTGAAGATCTAACAAATGATTAAGATGCAAAGTTGATAGAAGAAATAATACATAAAACTATATATCCTTATCATTATCTTGTGCATGAGAGTTTAATTTGATTAGAAGTAGGATAATATATCTCTTCACTGTGTCTCTAAAACATGCAAGAATCTCGAATATTAAAGATGTCATTATTATGTAAATAAACTATATTAATTAAAATTGGCGTTGACATATTTGTTTTTAATTGAACTAAAAACATTGATATTAATTTTTTAAGTGCGCCAACTACTCTCAACACAATTTTTTTTTTAAAGTATGATACTTGGTTATTTAGATTCAAATTAATATTTAGTATATTTTTGTGAATAATCAATAATTTAAATTATATAAACTTGAATATGCTTTACAAAATTCACCACAAGATTCCCATTAAAATTTATGGCTTAAACAGTTTAAGGCTTTCTGTACATACACGTTAAAATTTAATGGAGATCAACAGCCTGTTTGTTTGTTAAACTTAGGAGCAAAGTTGCAACGAAGATTCCCGTTTAATATCCAGAAATTTTCGCATTGGGGAATAACAGACCAAACAAACCCACTAGAAGTGCTACTTGTTACATTTCCCTACTCTACCCTAGGCGCATTAGTTGATACTTATACCACCAAGAGCACTTTATTTTGATTTCTTAATCTTGCTGACCGGTTAAAAAATCAATATGAAAAAAAATATTCATTGAAAATTATAATAAATTTACCCGAAATGTACAAATACATTTTCCAAAAAACATTTTCTAGTTTTATTCTTTGACAGCACATTTTCAGCATTTTTTCTTGATTCTTATATAAAAGATACATGCATTAGGGCCCACTTTCCGTACAACGAAAGGATAAGATAGATCATGAAGCTCACCACCTTTTGCAATGCGCTAGAAAGCTAAATCAGAAATCCATAATTCGAATTCTAACATAAATTTGAGCATTTGATTTTTATTAGAAATTAAAAGCGGTGCGATAAAATCATTTTAATGGAACTGATTAAATGGAATAACATGTTTCTGAATGATGAGAAATCAAAACAAGCATAACTTACGCAACATAATTTTGATCCGCGCTATATTTTTGTCTAATTACACTCGTAATGAGCGGATTAGTCAAAACTGTAGCCCCTCAACCGTTCTCAATAGATGTCAATGGAAAAACACCATTCACCAACAGCATAGTCTCGCACAAACAACTATAAAAACCATACAACCCAAGAAGCATACAATGAAACATTATTTGGTCTATGACCAACCAAATACATAATCAAGAACATAGACCAATGCGAGGGAGAAGGGATAAAGTAGGATAGCCAGTATGGATGTCCATAGAGGGAAGACAGTGCGGAAGCTGGCAAAGACGCCCACGGCTATGCAAACCACCAGAATAACCAACACTTCTGAAGAGAAGTCCCATGTCAATCCCCGAACATAAACCAGGGCCAAGAACACTGATAGGCACAGCACATTGTTCATTGTCACTGCGCCATATAGCTGCAAAAACAATACAAATCATGTTTTAAATTACTTGAAGGAGGGAAAATTGCACTAATTGCCAAGTCTTGCAAAATAAGCCACCCTTAAATGGATACCATTACCCAAGAAATATCAAAGAGATACAAGTAACTTGAAACATGCATGCAGCTAGTAACCATGAATAAACACAACAATTATGATGATGCCAACAAGTAGAACCACAACCACCATTATCATCACTTAATCACACTAGCCATTCAAAAAGTCAACAGGGCGAATTATTGCAAACAAAAGACCTGGGAATTTCCAATTCCCTCAACCCCAAGATTTCATCAACATTGCTAAATAGAAGCCGAAGTAACTACATGAAGGTCTAATTTTAGACACATCCTGAACATGAGCCCATCTTTTTATTATCCCGAGTGATTAGCTCATGCAGAAAATGGCATAAGTTGAGTGAAAGCGATGGTTTCAAATGCTTTATAGTTTATAGGTCATACTCAATTCTTTTGCATACTAATAATGTCTGAAAGAAACAGAGTATGAAACAAGAAAACAAACCTCAGAAAAAGTTAATGAAGCAGTTTGCCTCTTATCACGACTAGCAAAAATTATTGCTGACACTGCTTCACTTGAATTGGTTGCTAAGGGCAGCGCAATGAAGGAAATGAAGAATGCAGGAATACTTGTAGCATCAGAAAAGTTATCGACTGCATCAACCAGAGGATCAGCAAATGCAGCAGCAATAATAGTACCCAGTATCAGAAACAGTACTGCTTTGATGGAAGTCCATTTAGCATCCTCAACGCCCTCAGCTTCTTCATTACTCTGATCCCCCACATCCAGAAGATCATGTTCCCTCTTTGTTTCCTGTGCACAAATTCCTATCAGTCATAAGCACCAAAAAGATCAAGTTCATGAAGTTGACAATTGCACAACTTACCCTGTGAAAATCACTTAAAAACTTCATTGTGTGTGGACCAGCATCACCAGATGCAACCCGAGCATGCTGGGCCCTTTGAAGCCATCTAGAGACACCATTAACAAATTCTTGTTGCTCAACAAGTTGATTACCAGAAGTATCAAAATCATACATGATTCTCTTTACAGCGTCATCATGATCCAGGTCAATCTCCTCAAACTGAATTCCAATAAGCAGTGCTCTCAATTCACTATGAGTAAGATTTCCATCTTGATTTTCATCAATAGTTGCAAACAATCTATTTATTCCACAAAGAAGTCAGT